AACCGCTTGGCTGGCTCCCACGCTGTGAGAAACTGGGAATAACGAGTCCGTGTTCCCAGCCTCCCCCAGCTCAGTGCCTTGTTCGGCGTCGTTCCCTCGTGCACTCCTGCTCTGCCCTTGCAGCAGCGGTCTGGTCGTCTGGTCGCTACCACCGCGGCCATGCCCTTCGTCAGCCCTTCCCTGATGCCCGTCGGCTTCAGAGGTGGTTCCCAGGGGAGCGAGTGGGTTCTGCCCGTGGGTGGTGGAGGATGGATGGGCTCTGCCTCTGCTCCTGAGAAGATTCCCTTTGTGCTGCCCCATGGGAGGAGTAAGTGGGTGAACGCCGGTGATCTGACGCCAGGAGCCCTGAAAGCAAGAGCGAGCAGCGTGCGGGCATGGGGCTGGAGTGCTGGCCCCCTGCTCCCTGCGAACGTCCCCTTGCAGCCGTTTCAAGGTGGGCTTCTCTCTGCTCGGCCCCTCGCAGCAGGGGCTGAAGGCTGGCTCAAGCTACGAGGGAAATTTGCAAAATCCTGCAAATCCAACCCACTTTAGGTTAGCTGGGAAACCTCTTGGCTTCAGTTTTGGAATTTTTTGGGTGGGGAGAGGGGAGTGTTACTTCTTTTTGTGGTGGAGAATAATGTGTTAGATGGGGGAGGGTTGGTGCAGGTGGTACCTTGGGTGAGGCGCTGCTGTGAAGTGCAGAGTTTTTGTTTGGAAAATGGCTTTGGAGCAAGCCATGGAGAGCCAGGGCTTGGAGCAACACTGTCCCAGAGGTGCATGGCTCTGTGCGTCCCATGGAGGATGCCGATTTGCACAGAAGCTCTTTAGCCTCTCCTCTGGGACAGGACTTCCTCTGGAGCAGGTTCAATTAGTTTGCAGGCAGCCCTACACCACAGTGGCCGCACGGCACCTGGTACCCAAACCAGCTTGGACGTGGCTGTGCCGGTGATCCACGGCATGCCCGTGCTCTTGGAGGGATGGCTCAGCCACCTGGTTCCTGGAGCAGAACTGTCTCTAGGGGTGAGCACGTGGCCTGGAGTGCCTTTGGGATGAAAGACCCCAAGGGAGGGGTGATCTCCCGTGAAGAAAGTGAAGTTGGGGGCCAGTACTAGGTTCCTCATGTCCTTGCATGGGAACAGGGCACTGCGTGACTGAAGGGGTGTGCGACATTGAGTGCAACGTGGTGTAGCAAGAGGAAAAGGACCTTTAAGGAAAAAGCACTTAATGCCTCTTTCCGCTCTTCTCCACTGTCCACACGGGCAGCACAAACCAACCTCTGCCCTCGGTGCGCTCAGCTGCTGGCTTTGCATGCTCAGTGAGCCTGGGCCCGGGCAGGCTTTGTTGTCTCGGCTCAGATGATGTAGCTCTTCCACCTCTGCTCCCAGCAAGATAACAGGGATTTGCTTCGAAACTACCTGAAAACCTGTGTCGCTTTGATTTTAATCCACTAGCTGTGTTTGAAAGTGAGCTGATGGCGTAGTATTCTGACCCACCTGGGATGGGCTGCCGACATCCACGGCTGTCAGACCCATGCGATGGGGCTCATCAAGCCTTCCTGTGCTTCCTCAGGTCATATCTGCAGCAAACGGGACCACCAATGACTGCAACGCGAACAGGACGGTAACGATGACCCCCACCATGGACTCTCGGCTATACATGGTTTCCCTGCTGCCTTTTGTGGTGCTGCTCACGTTCATCCAGAATCTCAAGGTCCTGTCTGTCTTCTCCATGCTGGCCAACGTGGCCATGCTCGGCAGCCTTGTCGTGATCTACCAGTACATCGTCAGGGTGCGTGTGTACAGCTGCCCTCCGTCGCTTCCGTGATGTCCCCTGCTTTGGTGGGTGGGGGGAGCTTGGTGGTGGGATTTTTGTGCGCTTAGGGTGCTGCTTTCTCCCATGGGCATGGTGGTTACCCTCTGCTCCGCAGGGCTTTCCCTGCGCTGTGGGGCAGTGACAGGAAGCAGTGGGAGTGGGCCAGGTCCTCTCTATCCTCCTTGCATCTGAACTCTGCGTGGACTTTTTTTCCAGGACATTCCTGATCCCAGTGACCTGCCTCTAGCAGCAGCCTGGAAGACCTACCCTCTGTTTTTTGGCACTGCGATCTTTTCTTTTGAAGGCATCGGGGTGGTAAGTTGGCGTGTGGCGGTGGGGCTGCCTGCACGGGAGGCTCAGCCCGTGCTCGGGCTTGCCGCAGCACCTGCTCTGCGTTGCAGCTGTATTTGCAGATGAGCTTCTCTGACGGTAGCCCAAATTCTGGATGATGCTGTTAGCTTTAGCCTCCAGGCTGTCTCCTGGGTCAAACCCTGTTCCTTCCATCTGAGTCTGGAGGAGCACATGCTCCAGACCTCAGGAGGCTGGTTGCTGCTTTGAAGGTGGTTGTATCTGGCAGTAGGTTGGGCTCTGCTGGCTGACCTGCAGGCGAGGGATCGTCCTGACTCTTGTTACCAGGCTGGATCCTGAAGCTGCCTAAGTGGGAGGCCAAAAAGCATGACACAAAAAAAAAAAAAAAAGTGATCCGTTCCTTCCCACCCTGCTGGGGAGGCACTGAGATCTCCCCTTGGCAGCCGTGTGGCCCCAGCCTGCTGGGGGGCTGGATTTTCATGTGTGTCTCCTATGGGATGCTGTAAATAGACCAACTGTGTCTGTGAAAGAAGCTGGGTGGGTGGAGAGCTTAATGGCTCGCTAAGATGTTCTGGGTTGTTTCCAGGAGCTCCCTTCAAAGGAGGAAAAAAATGTTTTCATCTCTTAATATAAGCTGGCTGTGTAAACACAGGGCTGGAGAGGGCCAAACCATTACAGGAGGAGTGTTTACTGAATGCTCTGCCCGGGGCAGAGGGCCCTTGCTGGCACTGAGGCACAGACGCTGTCTTCCTCGCATGACGTGGAGGTGGGGAAGCAAACAAAAGCTTTTCTGGTCCTGCTCCTCTCCAGCCCTGCCACTGTATCTCTCCTTGAAATCCCCACCACCCAAGGATGGCTATAAAATGTTTGCTGAAGTCCTATATTTGAAAGCCAGCGTTAGTGGTATAGAGGTGAGGGACTCGTCTCTGTCCTTCCTTTTGTTTATTGTCCTGCCTGGTTGTAATCTGTCCAGACAAACCTGATGGGAGAGGAGAAAGTGTCTTGGTCTTTCCAGGGTCTGCTGGGGAAGATAAGATAATGTGTCATGATGGGCCAATCCCAGTGGGCATGGCCATGCTTCTTTGGGATGCAGAGTGTAATGCAACCCACGTATGGGGTGGACAGCATCGCCCCCAGATGCCAGGCTGTGATGGGCACAGCCCCTGCCAAGGGTAGGGAGCAGGTCTCTTCACTGAGGCAAGGACGTGAGTGACCCTGCCGGGGACTTGCCATGCCCAAACGTCTTAAAATGGGGCACAGAAATTGGATCTCCAGTGTGGTGGCTTTTTTGGCTGGGGTCCCCAGGCTCCTTGTGTGACCATCCCCCTGGCATGGGAACTGCTTGGCCATGGGGCTGCCCTTCCTGCTGCCAGGGACGGGGGGTATAGAGGAACGGGGGCAACCTGCTGGTCTTTCATCCACTTCCTCCTCCCCCTCTCCTAGGTGCTGCCTCTGGAAAACAAGATGAAAAACCCCCGGCAGTTCCCAGTCATCCTCTACGTGGGGATGACGATTGTCACCGTCTTGTACATCAGCCTGAGCGTCCTGGGGTACCTGCGTTTTGGGGCAGACATTCAGGCCAGCATAACGCTCAACCTGCCCAACTGCTGGTGAGTCCCGGGGGGCGAGGGAGAGGGTCCTGGCCAGGGAGGCAAGAGAGGGAGCAGTGGGGGACGTTGCTCCTAGGAGAAATGATCTGGGTGAGCTTGGGGAAGGATCAACTGTGCTGTAGACCAAACAGTCCAAAGGAGCTTGTCAAGGGTTGCCTGATGTACGGGGTGGAGAAAGGCTTGTTGCTGTGGTATCGGCTCTTCGTCTTGGCTCTGCAGCTCAGGGCTGCTTCCTCAGGGTCCCCAGGGGTACCTGCCTGGGTGGGTGCTGCTCCTGCCTCTTTCTTGGAGTCTTGTGACTCCTTTCTGGGGACTAAGCACAGCTCTGGCTGGCAGTACCTGTGGCTTGTGGCCAGGAGATGTTGAACACAACCCCTGTGTGGCAGTATTGGAAGGTCGTTGAACAGCACAAAACTGCTTCTCTTCCCCAAACGAAGCACACAGAAAACTAATGCAAAGCTGGGAGCTCCCAGAGGGGGTGAGATGTGATGTTTCCACATGTGGGCTGTGTTCCCTTGTTTGCAGCCCCGGAGCTCAAACTCCCACTCCTGGGCTCCCTGTTTTGCCTGGATGTGGCTCATCCCGAGCCAGCACTTTGCCTGCAAGCGCTGATGCCGTGAGGATACCCCTGCCTTCCCGTGGGGGCTGAGCTCTGCAGCTCCCCAAACCTGTCTGTCCTCCTCTGGGATCTGGCGAGGCCTCTTGAGATTCTCCAGTCACTGGCTGGAGCCCTGCGGAAATACACGTGGGCTGACCCTGTGCCTGCTTCCCCGGAGGGGTTATTTCTCCTCTTGCCGGGGCTGGTGGCTGCTGCGGCAGCTGGCCGGGCTGCCTGCTGGTCTGTCCTGGGGGTGAGTGGTTGCTCAGTGTCATGGCTCTGTATTCATCCCGGAGGAGAAAGGCAACCAGTTTCTCTTGCCTTTAGGACAAGAAGTGTAGAGCATGCAAATGTTGACAACAAATGCTTTTTCCAGCTTGCTCCACTTGGGATTATTTGCGAAAGTCCTGAAAAAACCCATCTGTCTTGTTTCTTATGACATGCTGCTTTGGGGTGTCTGTGTGGCAGGACATGGTGCTGACAGGTGAGGAGGAGCTGGAGAGAAGCTCTGCTCTACGCACCGCAGAGGTACCAATGGCACGGTGGCATCTGCTGCGCCTTGGTGCGGAGCTGGGGCTGAGGGCTGGCTTTGATGCCACAAGGCTTCTTGGAAAGCCATCCCGTGACAACACAGTTTCTTTGGGTTTGCCTAGGAGCGTTCTGGAGTTCAACGGTTTCTCTTTGATGTCTCTGCTAGCTTGAAATCCTGTAAGAGACCAAAGTGAGAATTGGAGCTGGGGGTGCCTGTCCCCCTCCCCAGCCCATCCTTCCTGCTCTTAGCAGCTGCCCGACACTGTGCAGTGTGACTTGCTGCCCGTTCCCCACTGTTGAAATGGATTTGGGCAGGACTCAAAATCTGAGTCACTGGTGGGCTTCCACATGCTGACCTTGTAGAGCTGCGTTGCTGGGGCTCTGGAGAAAGCAAAGATTTAGAAAAAAAATAGAGCCCGTTTTTGCTGTAATTATTGCTGTGTGATTTCAGTTTGAGTGCATGGACTTTCTTCCATGCTGGATCTGCGTAGTGACTGAGCTGCTGGATGTTGGTGTCGGTGTGGTAGAAGGTCCTGCTCCTGCTGAGAGCCTTATCTTGTCCCCTGCAGGGGCTGGGAGTCCTGCTAGGTACTTGCTCTCAGCGAGGAGGCATGGGGCTGGTGGAAAAAAGTGCCTGTGTTGTAGTGAGGTCTGAATCCCTCAGTGTGAAGCACAGGGGGTGTGAATCCCACCCACTCAGGGAGATAAAGTGAGGTGTGGAGGGGATAAGGTGCTGCTGCTGCTCCTGAAGGTGCAAAGCAGGTCAGATCCAGGTCTTGGGCTCTGCAGGGCACCAGGTCACGCTACAGCCTGTACCAACGTCGGCTGACCTGTAATGCTGCCTGGGGGCTTCTGCGGGAAGTCTCAGCTTTGTTTGCCCTGAAGGATGGCATTCTGTTAGAAGAAGATAACGAGATTTCTGTGACTTGCTAGGCTACAGAAAGATCCGATTTCAAACGCATGTTTCTAGGAGTATCAACGCTTTCTGTCAAATTACTAGTGTGAAAAAAAACTGTAGGGTTTTTCAGAGAGGGAGAAGAGAATAACCCTTTGGAAGCAGCGCCTGGGGAGGCCTGGGTGTGCGGCAGGACTCTTGCACAGGCTGCCTCTGGGGAAGGCGTGCTGCAGTCGTGACTCAGCACACAGAGCTCTGCGATGTTTGTACATGTTTCTTCTTGGCAGCACATTCGATGGAGACTGTAAATATTGGACTTGGAAATGGGTTATCTAAGGTAAGGGCTGGGATACTTGGGCTAAAGCCTTGACCGCTGTATTCCCCTGCATTAAACTGTAGGTGATGGGTGAAGACTTGCTCTTGAAATGGGTGTTTTGCCCATCCTGCTTTGCCTCTTCCCCAGCAGTAAAAGGTGTTGGGCTGCAGGAACTGGTCATAAGGGCTGTGGGTGAGGAGTCGTGGGGTTTACCTGCAGCACGGGAGAGAAGGTGAGGATTGTGGTGGAGATGCTGCATCCTTCCTTGGCTGTAGCCATCGTCCGGAGGTCTCTAGAACAGATTCAATGAACGTGTTGGGAATCGTTGAGTTACAGGATGACTAAGGACTTTTCCAGCCTCATTTCTCTATAACCGCAGCTTCCTCAAATGAGGAGTGTGTCGGTTCCCAGTGCCCAGGTCTAACCACAGCCTCCGAAATACCTCACTGCTATGCAGAAATCCCTCCTCGCATCCTCGGAAGGGTTGCTTCACCCCACCATCTGAAGAGTGAAGAAATGCTGTAGTGAGAGGGAAGATGTTTGGTTGCGTATGGCCAGTTGGAGGTAGGTAATGACAGAGCTTACGGTCAAAGGAGGGTATGCCATTTCTTGCAGCTTGTTGGGATGGCCTGGCCTGGCTCACTGGGTTAAGCAAGTGGTTGCTGTGGTTGGCAGAGCAGTGCCGCTCCAGGGCCCTGCAGGGACCCATGTTTTCTGTGGGTTAAGGTTAGCACTTTAGCTTTTCCTCTTCTTAATAGTTAAAATGCCCTTTGAGCCTGTTGTCCTGATTCCTGACCTGTACAGGATTGGCACCCAACCTTATTCTGTACCTTTTTAAATAACATTTCTTAATCATGGATTGCCTTGGAGCACTTTATGGCTTTACAGCATCACTTTACTGAAAATACGATGATAAGATATGCAGGCTATGGGGTAGGTGGCTCAAGGCTACTGTGCACTCAAGTCACGTGTGCCTGAGTGGGCGTACTCTGGACTCTGATAGCTTTGTCTTTAGTTTGCCTAGGATAATTTAAGTTGGAGAGGGCATCATGAGGTCATCGGGTCCACCCACCTGCTCAAAGGAGGGCCAACTTAAATTTTGAGTATCAGTAAGGAGGGAGGTTCCTCACCCCTCCAGGCCCTTGTTCTGGTGCTTAAGTATCCTTTTGGGATGCAGCTCTGTCCCATTGCCCCTGGTTCTTTTGCCTTCCTGCTTGGTAACTGAAGACAGTAATAACATCCCCCTTAACCTTCTCTTCATGCTGAATGAGCCCAGGTCTCACAGCCTCTCCTCGTATGCCATGTGCTCCAGCCCCAACTCCCCCAGTAGCCTCCACTCCACTGAGCTCTTGGAGTCTCAAGACTGGACGCAATACTCAAGATGCAGCTTCACAAGCCCCAAACAGGGGAGTAATCCCTACCCTTAACCTTCTGGCTAGTCTTTTGCTAACACAGCCCGGTATGTGCTTGACCTTAATCACTGCAAGGTCCTACTGCTGGCTCATGTTCAGTTCAGGGGCTGTCCACCAAGACTTCTGGGTCCTGTTCTCCTGGCCAGGTGGAAAGCCGGGCCCCAGTCCTTCCCATGTACGGGATTTTGTGTTTGCATTTGACCTTTGCTCGTGCCACCATGTTCATTAGGTCCTGCTCCAAGGTGTGTCAGCCATTCCCTCTAATTTGGTCTTGTTGGGAACTTGCTGAGAGCGTGCTCTGGGCTGCTGAGAGTGACCTATGAAGATATTTCTGTGATTGCCCTTTGGCAAATCCCCGCTGTCTGTTCATCCTGTCCAATGTACACCTGGAGATAGATGCCAGGAGGACTTAGCCCATACTTTTCTGTGGATCGAGGAGAGACTGATAAGCCTGTAGTTTCCCTCATCCTTCTTGAAGGTGGATATGGTTCTTCTTCGCAGACAGTTGGACCTCTTCCTGATCACTCTGCTCTTTTAAAGATGATAAAGTGGCTTCAGGCTGTTGTTGGCCACAACCTCGAATACATCTGATCTGGCCCCATGGACTGGCATAACATCCCATTCTCTTAGGTGATCCTCACCTCCATCCTCTGCTATTGTGGGAAATATTTGACTCCACCAGACTCTGCCACTAGTGTTCAAAGTTGTCTTGCTTGTGAATACTTAGACTTCTCTGGTTTGAGATGGCTGTTGTAACAGCTGGGTTCTGAGAGCCAATATGCAGAGGGACACTGGCTTGGGCCCAAAGAACGTAAAGGGGTATAAGAAGGCAGGAGGAGCCAGAAGGGCAGTTCTGCACACACGGGCATCTAGAAATATAGGTAGGTGCCTTAATTTGTTGAGGATCAAGTCAGGCTCTTGGTCCCTTGGCTAAGGACACCTCAGCTTCCCCTGTGCCCTTGAATGAATTAGGAGCAGTACAGCATTTTCTTTTTTCAAATTGCTCTCAATATCTGTGCCCACAAGGTTTCCCAAGGGGAAGTGGCACTTGAGAGGCTGCTGGCCTTACGCAAAGCCAAGGCTAAAGCCTTTGATCAGGTGTGGGTTGCCCCAGCTTGGAGGTTGCGCTGTCTCCTTGCTATCTCTTGCACAAGAAACGTCTCAGTGGATTGAATGCATCACCCCTAATTTTCCAGGAGGGAGTTCAGGAGGGGAGACTGTTTGGATGCAGAATTCTTCTTGGCAGTGTTTGCTTTCTGCCGTTTGTTGCCGTAGAGGCTGGAGCAAGAATGTGCCTCACTGGGTCTCCTCCTTCTCGTTTGCAGGCTGTACCAAGCTGTCAAGCTGCTCTTCTCCTTTGGGATTTTCATCACGTACGCCGTGCAGTTCTACGTGCCCGCCGAGATCATCATCCCTCCCCTTGTTGCCCGGGTTTCGGAGCGCTGGGGCTGGCTGGTCAACCTGCTCCTCAGGGTGGCCCTGGTCAGCGTCACCTGTGAGTAGAAAGCAGCTTGTCCGAGCTCCTCTATGAGGACCTTGCACCTCCTTCCAGCCGTGGGCTGGTGGTGCTGAGAGCCTCTTGGCTGCTCACCTTGCTGCCTCTGGCCCTGCTACTAAAGCTGTCACAGTGGGGAATCTCCTGGAGTCCTGTTTTCCGTAGACAGCGTGCAACCAGGCTCCTCCTGCCTGTGTGACAGGAGGGCATGGCTGCAAAGGGGTCGCTGGCCGCGAGGGAGCCGGTGTCCTTGTACACACATACTCACTGCAGCATGTAGCACAGCAGGAGACAACTGACTGGTACATGACCTGTAACCAAAGTCCTGGCATGCTTGTGGCCACAGGGCAGGTCTGGCTGTGCCAGCCCCATGTGGTACCTTTCCCTTGATGGTGTCTGGTGGAGCAGGCTGCTGGGCTTGAGCCTGGTGGACCTTTGGGAAAGGTGTGGAGCAAATCAGATGCAGAAGTACCTGATTTTGGCAGGCTTTGATTCCTGAAGACTAAATCCTTGCTGTTGTCAGCACAGCTGAGACGCTTGGCTGAGCTCCCAGGCGTCTCCTG